CACACACACACACACACACACACACACACACACACACACACACACCCCCACTTCTTCCTCCAAAATCAATTACTTGAGGGTCATGGTAAAATAATTGAGGGCACATTAAGGCCCTGAAATTAACACAGAGTTTAAATGTTGAAACTTTTCTTCAACTTCTCACTTTGAACTTGAAAAAAACTATAATTACAATAATACTATGATGATGATAATAATAAAAGGACAAGATTTTATTCTTAGGCAGTAATAAGATGCAGGAGTTTATTCAACACAGTTTCTTTGTTCACAAAAAGCTGTTTAAGACAACAAATAGACTAAAATACAAGTGTTGAGTGAAAGATGACATTTAAAAAGAAAACTGTGATAACAGTTTCATATTCTAGGAAAATATAAGTCAAATAATACATGATGTGTACACCCATGCAAAGGGAAATGTTAATTACAATCTAAGAACATATCTTATTTCTTCATTCTCTTGATAAAAAGACGTTTCACCTGTTTCCTCACTGGCTGAGGCCTCAGTCCAATTATCACCCGGGTCCAAGTGCCAGATTTTTAAAGGTTTCCTGCTGCGCTGGTCACACAGCACATTAAACACACTCGAGGCTGTAGAAATATTCATTACAGGCATTTGACGGATTTTAAAAATGTGAAAAATGCAGCGGGTTCATGAAAAACATGCCAGCTGAGGGGATAAGGATATTAAGATAGTGAAGCTGGCTCCACAGAAACAGAATGAGGAAGATGGAGAGCTGCTGCAGACACTGCACTTTATTTATTTATTAGTTTTTTTGTTTTGTTGATAGTGTTCGTTTATGCTGAGATGAGTGAAATAAGGAGCTGTTGCTGTTTTTTGTTGCAGTCGATGTTAAGGTAAGAAAAAGATCCACATGCTGGGAAATTTGACACAATACAAAGATACAACATATTAGATAATAATATTAATAATAATAATGGGTTTACAGAAGAAAGTATTAGAGAGGAAAGAGGAAATGGAAGAATTTTAGGGCTCTGACTGTTGCTGACATTTTCCAAACGGACCCATCTCCAAGCGCTCGTTGTAATGATGGGCTGCTCGCGGAGGAGACGAGGTGCTATCTGTAAATCACAGTCCCACCTGCAGGGATCCATGTCCACTGGCGATCACTTTGCTGAAAGAGACGGACAGAGAAGAGGGAGATGGACAAAGAGAGGACGGTGATTTGTGAGGATATTAAATGTCAATGGTCGATAAATGAAGTTTGAGCAGAGCAGAAAATAGAGAACCCAGTAGGTTCATGTTTAAGATTATAATATAACATACTCTGCATACATACATATTCATACATGCACGTACAATCCACGATCCAATCACCTGCATGCTTAAGACAGTATGTTTTCAATTCAATATCAAATGAATGAAATTCATCCCGCACCTTAAACAGCCTGACAGCCGACAACAATCTAATGGTGGTGGAAACAAATTGAGAAGGGTTATTATCATTAAGAACTATTTATCTGTGCTGCTCGGACACGTCGCCCTGACATACACATCCCTCACGTGTTCCAATCTGACCCGATCCAAACGACCCGCTGTGTTGATCACTTGACCCCATAGAGGTCAGAGGTCGGCCAGCTCAGACAGCTATCAGCATGCTGCAGGTTGCAGCAGGCGTCGTAAAACTGCTGCTTCTTATCTGAACTCTTTGACCCCTCATTAACCTCATCTCTGCTGCTTTGAGAATTATCACCTGCAGCAGAGCAGCAGAAATCCTTTACAGCATCTGGTGGGTTTGTGCGCGTGTGAGGTGGTGATAGAGAAACACGGCGGCGTCTCTTGATTGTGTGAATTGGCCAGTTAGTGAGAGTTAGAGGTGGCGGTTAGAAAAGAAGAGCAGTGATTTGAGCAAAGTGTTAATGTCAGCATATGAAAGAAGATCAGTGACATGTTACTGTTCCATTCACATCATGTGGGAAGAATAGTGACGTGGAACAAGGACAGAGCCAGAGAGACTACACATGTCCTAATACTGTTGTTCCAGTAGGAAGGACGGAGGGCAGAAAGGAAGGAGGGCAGAAACGAAGGAAAGAAGCAAGGAAGGAAGAGAGGAAGGAAGGAAGACACATATAAAGACAAAGAAAAAAAAGAGACATAGAATGAAAGAAAGAATAAAGAGAGACGGACATCAAGAAAGAAAGAGACCCCCTGAGCATATACAGAAGTTTTTACACCACATAAGTAAATTATAAGTTTGCAATCATTGCTCTCGCTGGTTGATATAAATCAATGAATACATAAATAAACCTAGATCTGATTTATTGTGCATATCAAATGAGGAACATGAAGCCACTTTGCACATTTTCAACAGTATTTTATATCAAATTGCACCTTTTGCCCCTGAGCACATGAACTCAAACATACTCAAGCTTGTTTGTCTCTTAGAAACCATGAAAGAAACTCTTTATGGAAACACTCATGTTGAAAGAAAAGAAAAAACTGGCAGTAAGGCCTGGACTAAAGGTCCTCCCTTTGACTACACCGAGGGTGAAGGACACTTTAAACATTCATGTTGTTCTGTTTTCCTCAGATGTTTAGAACACCGGCATCAAAGAGTTTTTCTGATGTAAAATTAAATGGCACACAGAGAACACCTAATAACCTAACAGATCCAAGTTGGTGTGATTATTCATTTGATTTAGAGAAAGAGTGTTTTTAATGTCAGAATCACTTCAGGAGCTTCAAGAAATCCACAAAAACTGAGCCAGAAATGAGATGGTCTGGTAAATGGAGGGTTTTCTATTTGCATCAAGCTTCTCTTGCTGTTGCCATTGATTTTAGGTGTTTGACGACAACGTTTAAGTCCCACCTCCATATACAGGAGATTGTTAACCTTCTTGTGTTTCTCATCTTCATCATCTTCATCACCGTTACATCTGTCTCCACACTGGCTCCTCTAACTAGTGCGGCTCATTCTCAGGTGATACACTGCAAATGAGAGGCACGTTCACTGCGGACATTCAGAGTTCACATTTAAGAGCAAAATAGCCATTTATCACAACTTGGCTTTATCTGTGGGGTTTGGCCAACGAATATATCGTGTATAAAAACGTCCAACAGTCATACCAGCAGTAAATTAGTGAACATTTTAGCCCAGTGAACGACTACATTTGTGGGAAGAATCTTAAGTAAAAAACCTATAATGTCGAAAATAATGGTGCAAAACAATGGTAAGTCTAAGCTGAGCTGTGATGGAAATTTTGTGTAGAAATGTCTTATTTCATGTATACCTAATTTTTTCAAAGTAAATTAGACTACTTGTGTTAAAACCTCTCTGGCTGTGTTTCTTGTCGAGCTATTTTCAGCGATTTACTTTGATGAATACACTGTTGGAGCTGATGGATGGAGCCACAAAAGAAAAGTTGTGGCTGTAATAAACCTGGACTTTACGAGCACACCTGCTGAGATAGAGTACTGAATGCACAAGGGCTGGTAAAGTGCAGTATGAAATGATGGATATGGTGATGAATCATTAGCCTCTTAGCCAGTCACATTACTGTTCTCTTAAACCACTAATAAAAAACTGTAGATTGATGCCGTCCCAGTGGAACGTAGCAAATGTGGCTCACAAAATTGAGTGAAAAGGTGGAAGACTTCTACATGTGAATCTTTCAATTATGTGGAAATCTGTTTTTACACATTTCATGCTGACATACAAACAAACCAACCGACAAACCGACTGGACAGGGGTGAAAACATAACCTCCTTGATGGAAGTAATAAACACAGCGGCTGAATCACTGCAGTATCTTCCGGTATTGATGATTTTGTCCTCACAATTCAGCAAAGACATAGATTTCCCTTTTTACAAGGTAGAGCGTTTCACTGCCTTACAAAGACGCTGCAGTTCTGTTGTGACCCAGGTACCAGAAATATTCTGAGAAGTCAGTGGAAAGTTTTATGTCCTGTTGGTGGTGTGCTAGAGCCGCATCAGAGGACGTGTGCACACAGAGAAGCGTCCGAAGGTCTGTTTGTGGTAAGTTGTCATTCAGCCTTAATTACAGCAGTGCACAGTGATTGGTTAATGTCTTGTTTGGACCTCTCCCCTCCTGTGTCCCATGTGCAAACTCAGAATTAAACAAACATAGATGAAAAGCTTTCTGTGTGAGCTACCTGAAGTGCTATAGGATGTGTTAATATTCTGCACTGCAGAGGCGTAAGAGTACATTAGGTTGACCCTGAAATCCACACAAATTTTTTGTCCCGGTCACAGGAGTTTTCTGTTTGAAACCTGTTTCCAACGAGTGGTTTCTTTTTTTACCTGGGATCTATACCTAATCATACAAAATATATTTGAGTTGCCTCAACTTAAAACTGTATTAAGAGATGTTTCAGCGACTCAGGGCAGCGAAACAAATCTCAAGCTATTGCCTGAGGTGAAGCTTTAGGTCTTCTTAACACTCCATTATATTCAACCAGCTAGTCGCTAACTTTATCTGTTTTCATGTGTTGGATGGGAAGCAGGTTTGAGAAAGATTTGATGATCGGCTGAGTTGATTGATCGTTTTCTGTGGGTTTGTCACACATCAGGAGACCCCTTTCACATTTTCCTCCAACTATTTTCTTCTGCTTATCCAGAGTTGGGTCACTGTGGCAGCAGGTTGGACCAGGCAGCCCATGACGTCCCTCTCATCAGGAAGGTATTTGAGCACCTCCAATGGAAGGTCCCTGCACCACCTCAACTGGCTCCTTTCAAGACGAAGGTACAGAGACCAGAGCAGCCTCCAGATGTCAAAGCTTCCCAGGCATTATGTAGAGAAAGCTCATGTCAAGGTGCCTATATCCTCTATCTCATTTTTTCGTAACAATATTTTGTGTCAGCACTTTGCTGATATATTAAAACAAGTTAAAAAGACTAAATCAGGGAGGAGTGTTTTCTTTTAAGATTTATGATTTAAGTTTACTCATTTACGCTGCTATGTTATTTCAATGAAGGAGTTAGAAGAGTTTCATGGTCGTCTTCCCAAATCCCCTGTGAGATTAGATTTAGAACCATTGTATAACTTGGCCTTATTTTACTGCAGACAACAAAGACAATAAAATACAACTGAGTTTTCAGCAGATTTTACGGATCAAGCATTTTCCTGTTCCACATTGGAGACACAACTGCAGAGGGAAAATATATAGATGGTTAATGACTAATGATCAGTCTGGTCTATATATCTTGAATTTAAAATCAATATATTTTTATTATATATATTTTTCAATTACATACTGGACAATATCAAGAAAGACTATAGGAAGAGGAAACTTTATTAAAACATTTTTTTTTAAGTTGCTGAGGTAATTTATAAAATATTTGTATCTCTGTTCTTTAAATAGAAATTACTACAGCCTGGTGAATTTGTATTCTTATGTGCAGGGTTGTGTTTGGAGATTCTGGACTCATGACCTCAGCTTCAGCCCTGATTGGGAGTCTCTTCATCCTTTCATTCAGTGATGGACAGTGCTGCAGCCCCACGCACCCTCCAAATACTCCCATCTTCTTCAGACTTATTCTTTCCTTTCTCTCCCCTCATAGAAGAAAAACTAAGTCCCCGGTTCCTGTGGAGTGGCTGGTTTTGTGTGGTCCCAGCACTGTCCCGTGTTTTTATCGCTCCTGTGACGGGTTACCCCCGGTTTCCCTCGCACCTGCGCCGCTCCCAGGTCCCTACAGGAATGCGCTGGGGCTTGTAATCGCCTTTGTGGGGCCATTGAGTTGTACACGGCTGACTGAAACTTCCCAACCTCACAGTGCGCTGGCCGCTGAATGGGGCTCAGCGTGGGGCGGCTCTCCAAACCACGGCCGGTGCCAAATTCCTACAGTGGAGCTCCACAATCACTCCCACACAGGCCCCGGCATATACAGCCAGGCAGGAGGGATGGGGGAGGAGGGGGTGATGGGGTCGGGATGTGGTGGTGGTGTGTGTGAGTGTGTGTGTTGGACACAGAGATTTAAAGTCTACATTTAACCCCACTTTGTGCGTTTTATCCACTCAGGCCCGAACATGCATTTGGCACCCCCCCTCCTCCAAATCGCTGCGTGATTATTTGTGATTTTAAATTGGACATTTTAAAGTGTATATTTGGATGTCTCACCTCTTGTCAGAAAGCTCCAGTGCAGATGCTATTCCAACAACGGAGAGATCTGGAAAATGAGAAATAGGAAATGGGGGGGGGGGGGAAGGAAAAAAAAAAAAGATTTGGTAAATGCTGCTGGACAAAGTTTGAATAAATAAAGCAATTTCTCATAACTTTCAGTGTATTCTGCGCCGCGTTTCGGTGCATTAGGTCTGTGCGCCGGCGTGCGCATTGGTAGCTGTGGGTAGATAGAGCAGCACCGCAGGATTAAGAGGCAGCAAGATTGTTAAACATGTCAACGTGTAATTGCACGATAAGGCCCTTCCGAGGAATTCATTGGCCCAGTTGCTTTCTCTATTCCGCGCTAATCTCGCCCGGCACATTCGCTCTGTGCAATCTGTCTCCATAATCTTCTGTGACAGAGCGGGCGACGTGAGCAGGCTGCCTGGTAATTTTTTTTTTTTTTAGGAAAAGGGGGGAGAGACGTGGAGAAAATATGCAGAGGCGTGATAAACTGACGCTAATTATCCCCATTTAGGACAGGGAGTGCAAGGGATCGGGGCTTTGCGAGCAGCCCGAGTGTGCGCCGGAGCTGATGGCCTCCTAGCACGGAATATATCGGTGGCTACAAGATAAGAGGAGCGCACGGCGGAGAGATTTATTGGCCGGTCAGCTAAACACACACTTTTACGCACACACAAACAAACACACATACACACACACACGTTTACATCAGCACCCATCGTTGCCTGTTCACGATGCACCCTGCACTTACCGCTCCTCCAACCTCAAGGTGTAATTTATGCGGGTTAAATTTGCCAGAACGCGCCTCTTTGAGCCATGGCGATGCGCCGTGACGCGCTCCGCCTTCCCGGGCTTTCAGAGCTAATCCGCATCTCTTCACATCAACAGATAAGATTTGAAACAGATGCAAAACACGTGAAGGGGGGGGGGGGGGGGCAACCAAACCCACCTCCTCTGCGCCACATACACACTGCGAGGTGTACAGTGTGCGGAGAGATGTCTCCATAGATGCAGCTTCTTTTGGATTTTGGAATTTAAACTCGTTCTCAGACATTGTTCCCTCTGATTCCTTTCAATAGATTGACGCGCAGCCAGACGTGACACGCTCCACTATGAGGCCTAACAGGTTTAATTGACATGCCATGCAAGTCTTCATCAGTGTGAAATAGACCCTTTAACTATGTATTTGAGATTAATTGATTTTTTTTAAATTCAAAATGCCTAAGTAGGCCTAAACGTCCTTCATTTGCATGTGTGTGGTTATTAGCCTGTATCTGAGGCCTACAGGCAATGGAAGGTGCACATGTCACAAGCAGAGGTGGCTTATGACAAAAAGTAATTTTCAGAGTAATTTTCATTATTTTGAGAGGATTAATAATCTGGATGACATTTGGATCTCTTCTCATCAACACCCATCCCTCCATAGTGGAGGTGTTTGTGTCAAATCTACAGAAAGTCTCAGTGAAAATCCAACATCTACAGTTTATAGATTCAGATGAGTCATGATTAACCCCATATAACTCCACGTGCTGGAGGATTGAGTCCAGTTTGTGCAACAGTTTGGTTGTAAATGATTTCATGGTTGTGTTCCTTGATATCTGATTTATCTTGAAATATTTGGTGCTCTCTTTTGTGCAGAGAAGGAAACTTTCATATCTTGAAAAAGGGTTGTTTTTTTCTTCCTCTACAGTAGCATGCCTCTTAATGCTCTCCATGTTTCTTACAGTGGTCTTAAAATTACGCCGTTTGTGCCTGATGCAGTTTTCTGGACTTCATCAAGTGTCGAGAGGAAAATTCAGAAACAACTCTTGCTGACACCTTCTCTTACTCATCTTACTGCCTCTCATGTGACTGCAATTCATTAGAAGAGTAAAAGCATGTTGGATTTAATAACAGTTGTTCATATCAAACTCATAATTTGAACCCTGCTCAGGCAAGTTGGTTAAATGACGCCAAAGAAACCTGAGATTTTATGATTCTGAGGATTTTCTCTGAGATCACCAGCTATCAAGATGTAAATTTATATGAAGCCTCTAATCTCGTGTTTCACATATTTTATTTTTTATCTCTTAAGTATGAAAAATGTAAACGCATGAGACATAAACGAGGATGATGACAAAAAAGAAATACATGTTCCAAGGCCAGTGGGTGTAAAATAAACCAGTTCAGGTGAAAGATAAATGAAAGAGTCTTTAAAAGGATAACTATGGTAATATTAATCTATTTATCCATAAACTGTTGCTTATATATTTAGGTGATTTACCATTTCCCCCTGAGTCTCATGAGTTAAGTGTCAAGTGCTCAAAACAGAAGCAGTGAAATCCAAACTTTCTGCTGATATTCACCAAATTTCCCCTTGAATAGATATTAATGATTTTATCTGATATGATTTATTGTATAAGTGAAATGTATATTAATATTGTTTATAGCAGCCTAATATACACCCATATAAGAACATTTAAAAATCATGCGCAGGCCCCTCTGCAGACTTTTGATGATTTTCTATTGATTTCATCAGTAAAGCTTTGATGATAATTGGTGATGGAATGTGACACAACTTATTGGTTAGACAAATAAAAATGTAGACTAATGACTGATCATGTATTTATGTAAGATAATAAACGTTGGATTACATTTTTTGGCTGCTGAAATTTGCTATAAAAATAGTCACATTTCAAGGGCAATTGAAAGGGGAAAAGGAAATGTTTTAATAAGTAAAAGCTTTCATTCCTTATAATGAAGAAAATTTCGTTAATTACACCAACAGGTGGTTTGTCAGATGAGGCCTTCTCATAATCTATATTAATCAGATTTTGTTGTGTTATGTTCAAAAACTAATGAGCAATGAATTATATGAAATCATATGAATTATGTGAAAGGAGAATGTGGGCCATCATATTGACCTGGGTTTAACATTTAAAACGACTAGGATATTTTTTGGCCTTAACACTAAATAAAATAAAAAAGCTTTTTATAATGTATTACTAATTTTATATTTACCCAAATAAAAGTTTAGTTCATGAAACATCATCAACCCACTGAAAATGTGTCCTCAGGCCTTTAAAAGCTTTTACGCACAATTACGCACAAACAATTGGGGCTATTTAAAAGCTCATGGGACCTGTGTCCAAATTTAAAGAGGTGGCGATTTTTCTCCAGAGGAGGATTCATGATATTTTCGTGTTATAAAACGTGAAGAGACTCCTCCAAGAACATCGTGAGAAATAATCAGTGTAAGAGCGTTCTCTTAAGAATCAAAGCAACATCTTGTGAAATTTATTCAATTCTTCTTCATTGCAATATCACGACTTTTCACTCGCAGGAAAAGCACTTAAAATTACAACAGCAGTTGCCCGTCATCCTTTGAAATATTAAAATTATTCACAATTTACAATAATTAGTGTTACAATAAAAAGAGATGATTTGCAAGAATTAAGACACAGGCTTCTGCAAATGAACACAAATATTTAAAGAATGTGATTTTTTTCCCATTTCTTTTTAAAGCACTTTCTTATGATTATGACACGTTTTCTCATTTTCAAATAACTTACAAGAAAATTATGAGACAATTGAACCAAATACTCCCCCACGTGGACCTGGCATAACCCTCAACTAAGACTGTGAAGTAATGGACAAAAAGATGATAGCACAATAACCAATATCTCAGCATCATATTCGTTATATAATTCCACTGGTGGCTATTCCAAAAAAAGCCGAGATGAATATGCTATTTACCTTTCATTTACAATATCATAAACATTCTGTACAAAATGCAGGTAGATCTCGGGGCCGGGGTTATTTAGAAAAGAGGTAAATATTTGGTTACGTGTTCGTTTGCAGTTTTCAATTATTCTGTGAGTTCTAAATATGTGTTAGAGGGACCGTCCCGTTCACTCCAGCCGTGGCGCTCTGGTAATGCTGCGGCAAGGCATGGAGTCTACTTTGCATTGACGGGTCCCCCGGCTCTCCGGTCGGTAAATACATGCTTATCATCTCTCTCAAGTCTCCGGGGCAAGGACCCCGTGAGTGTGTGCTGCTGACGGGAGGGCTTACACTCGGCTCCGATTTCACCAGCGACCCTAACGTCCCCATGGCAGCGGAGGAGGAGACGCCGGAGCCCTGGTGCTGTGTGTAGGTGATCCCGCCGTAGCCGGAGGGTGAAGCGTTCATGTAGCTCTGAGAGTTCGAGATGGGGCTGTACTGCAGCGCTGTCATGTCGTAGCGGTGCATGGGCTGCGGGTTGTGTGAGTGGTGGTGGTGCGAGTGGTGGTGGTGGTGCGCTCCGCTCCCCGGGTGCTGGCTGTAGGCAAGCTGCGCCTCCTGCATCATCGCTGCGGCCGCCGCGGCTGCAGCCACCTGCCCAGAGTACGCACCGTTCGCCCAGCCGTTCATGTGCGCGTAGCCGGAGCTGGCTGAGCCTCCGTGACCCCCGGGGCTCTCTAACCTCTGTCCGACCCCCGATGAACCCATGCCGACCCCTAAACCAACTCCACCACCCCCACTGGGCCCAGAAAGCAGTCCACCTGCGAGGGAATATTTGTCCTTTTTCAGCAGCGTCTTGGTCTTCCGTCTTGGCCGGTACTTGTAATCCGGATGCTCCTTCATGTGCATGGCTCGCAAACGTTTCGCCTCGTCGATGAAAGGACGCTTCTCAGCTTCGGACATTACCTTCCACTCGGCACCCAGCCGCTTGCTGATCTCAGAGTTGTGCATCTTGGGGTTCTCCTGTGCCATCTTCCTCCGCTGCCCACGGGACCACACCATGAAAGCGTTCATCGGTCTCTTCACCCGTTCCTGGTTCGCTTTGGATCCGCTATTCGGCCCCGTTTGCCCCGTGGTCGTGTTCGTTTGGGGGCCGGGGGAATGGAGGTCAGTTTCCATCATCATGCTATACATTCACCCGGTTTTAAACTTCGCCACCAACAGAGAAAAAGTCTATTTTAAGATAGGACAAGTGCGCACAAAGTTCGGGTGCGCACAGATCGACTGGGTGGCAGAATTGATATTCTGAACCCCGAACGAATCAAATACGACACAAAAAATAATCCGAGAAGGAATATAAAATTTTTCCAACCAGTATTTCGCCTTGTCTTCGCCTGGGTTGGTTCACATCCACTGTGAGAGAATGCGCATTTGAGCCACTTTGCTTATGTCGGAGTTGAGAAGTTGGTTAAAGCGGCGGCCATATGATGCGCACTGACAGCGGTTAAATGAGCCACAAGCGGCCAATGAGGCTCTAGCAGCAGAATGATTTGCATGGCGTTTGGTCAGGTGACTAGAGGACCATGGAGGAAGAACACGCCGGAGGAGGAGGAGAAGGAGGAGGCAGAGAGGAGGGTCAATCCCACAAATAGCACAAGGCATTTGAAATTTCCAAACACCCTCTCAGAGACTCAAACTAAACAAAAATAACTAAGATTTGTTTGCAGCGATGAGGCGACCAAACGGTGGGGGCACTCTGTCATTAGAATGAGTTAAACATCTCAACATATTTTTAAATGTGGCTCGTGTACGGATGGATGGTGACTTTCAAAAATCTGCTTTAAAGGTAGCGTCCATATCAAGCAGCAGTTTAAGTGAAATCATACAGAAGTTAGAAGATTTTCTTAATCGGGATATTCTTACATTCACTGTGTGTCCTCGAAGGCTGGGCCCAACTGTAATTGTACGCACAGGAATTACACCACAGCCAATCCAAACCAATTCACTGTCAGACGACTTGATGCGCAACCAGCTCCTCGAAAATCTAGATTTTTAGATCACCTCTCCTTTTCACCAGGTATATAATTAAGACAGGCAATGTGCGAGTGATGGTGTGTGACGGAGAGTGAAGTTACACCCACAGGTAGAATGTAAATTCAAAAACTGTTGGTGTAAAGAGGACAAACCCATGAGGGTGGATAACGGGGTAAAATTGCCGGGGCATAGCGCTCTTATCGCCGTCTGCTGGTGATGGTGCATATGTCTTCATGTCCCTGCCTGCAGCTACAGATGTTGACTTTCTTTATAAAAATATTTAAGGCGTCTTATTTAACGTCCAGTCCAGCAGCCCGTGCGTAAACACCACGAGAGAGAAGCGGGTCTACGTGTCTTCGCGTCCGCGCATGTATAATCCAGATTTCACAGCTGACCTCCTCTGAAAAGCCCAATCAACCTCTAATTGAAAGGGAAAACGAAATACCACTTCCCGCGGCGAGACTAACGATTTAATCATTCTATCGTTCTTTGCTGTGTTTTTTTATATTTTAATTAGAGCTTAGCTTGATAAAGCTCCCTGCTCAGGGGCCTGAGGGAGCGGGATCACTCGGACGGATCCATGCGTCTTTGGTAATAGGGTTAACGGGAGATCACAATGGTCAATAAACGTTCGCAGTGGTCCGGGCCATGTGGCTTAAGGCCCGAGAAAGATGACAATATAATGACGACGAGGGCGGAGGAGGGGGTGAACATGACACCAGACAACAAACAGGAGTAAAGACAAACAATGCTGGCTTATAATAAAGTCCTATAATAAAATAATGGAAACAACATTTTGCTCGATATTAACACGAACAGTTCTGAGTGAGTCTAAGTTAATTTAAAACAGGCCCATAATTACAAGAAACTCATATCTAATATAATCTACATTTTAGCCCAGTTATTTCAAATAAAAAAATACTAATAAATAATCTATACTAGTAATAATCTGAACAAGTTGTTTTAATTAACGACAGTAGATATAATGGTAATTATGATTATTAATAATGTGATGGATGTATATTCATGGAGAATTAGCCTCACATGCAGTGACAATTAAGGACCCCGGTGGTCAGTGTGTTCTCTCTCTGTCATCCCCCATCAGTTACTCCTGTTTTAACAAAACTCTTTTCAAGCCTCCTCGCTCCTTTGTGCACGGCCTCTGCAACAGGATGTGTGTGTGATTGTGTGTGTGTGTGTTTGTATGTGTGTGTGTGTGTTTGTGTGTGTGCCTGAGAGCATGTGTGCGCGCGTGTACCTCGATGATTGTCCACGACTGGGGCTAAGGGTCAAAGCAGTTATCCAACACTCCTCACACAACAAATACCCCTTAATATAAATAAGTGAATGACATATCCCACAACGATGAGCGTCCACACGCATTGTCATTAGACATTTTTCTTTCTGCACGTATTACTATCATCCATGCACAAAAGTTTGAAACAACCCGTTTGAATCTTTGACCTTTTCTCCTAAACCAGTTAACCTGAGCCCCAACGTTTACGCGCGTGGTGCGTTACTGTGCGTACTTGGGCGCAAGCCAGGACCCTTGGAAGTGGTTGGAGTTGTCTCTGGGGGTAAAAGGGGGACCTGCGGTCACCTGCTGATCACCTGGACACACAACACGAAGTCCTGTGTCGATTATTAAACCGATCTGACGAGAGAAAGCACCTGTTCACTCACCCTAAAATCTAAAGATGCGATCATCAGCCCTCCATCACCTCACCCGCCTCTCCCCGCCTCTCCCCGCCTACTGAGACTAAAAAACACAGACAGTCATGAAACGTAAATATTGACAGCTAACACTCCCAGTATCAATTCATGGTTTAATAAATAAATCCACATTTTACACTACGGAGCAGATTTGTTTCCTCTGTAATTCAGACGGAGACAGATGCATCAGATAATAACCACTCAGCCCGGAGCAGATCACTAGCCGATAATGTCACTTCGGGGGAAAAAAAAAAAAAAAAAATCAACCTGAGTCTGTTAGAGAGCAACTGGTAGCACCAGGAGCCGCTGAGCGCTCCGCTCCGCTGCACAGCCGAGCCCCGCGCAGCTCACTTGTCCCAAAATAAAACCACAGCCCGCAGCTATGAAAACACACACACACATACTGAACGATGCCATTAAAGACAAACATGCGCAATGAATGAGATCAGAAAGCTTTCAAGTTACCGCTATTTATTTATACGAATCTCAACAAAAATAGATTTTACGCACAAAAGACAGGTTCACTGCATCTACAGGTTAAATATCGGCACAAATGTCCTTTTTTTGCGTATATATGCAAACTTACGCATGTTCCCCTGGTTCCCTCTGCTCCAGACCAAGTGGGCAGATTTGTCCCTTCATACTCCTAAAGCCGTCCTAAACCCTCCAAAGCTTCATGTAAGACCGCTGCTCCCACTACAGTCTGGCCGCTCCAGTGCCAAGGCCATCCTTACCCGGTGCCCAAACCCACTACTCAACACACTGAGGGGCAGAGACAAGAAGAAATGACATTTATTATACACTCTAAAAAAGACAATTCCAAGTTATTGTTTCTCTCTGCAAAAGGGGCTTGCTTCTAACATAATGAAGCGTCTTTTGTGTAGCCCAGAACAATACAAAACAAGTATTCTAATAAATAGCCACTTTTTTCTTTTTTTCTTTTTTGGCTCTCCAGGATGAATGGACTGGAGCGGCGGGGTTCTGAAAGGCAGCTGTGCCGCATTGGCGGAGGAGGGGCGAGGACTTGGCGAGGAGCCCCGCACCCCCTTCGCCTCCTCCTGCATACTGACTCCCATTACTGATCCTGGAACAGAAAGGGATGCAGATACAGAGGCAGAGAGGTGGGAAGAGTAGAGGAGGAAGGAGAGGAATTGACTTTGGAGGCTGATTTAATTCGTGACATGAACCGAAAATGAGATCCTGGAATCACCAAATATTACTTCAAACACAGAGAAGACTGAAATGTCCAGTCAGATTCCGTATGTGACTTGCGTAGCTTGCAAGCATGTGGTTCTGACAGCTGACACATACACACACACTAAGAGACAGCTGGATTAATTAAACATCTCTTATTTACACTCAGATCCACAGTTTGGGGAATCTGCAGTGACACACACAGACAGACTACAGAGCTCTTTTCCAAAATAAATTCTCTGTATAACCAGGATGGAAGCCAGGTGGATCATCCTGAAGAATCAGGTGAACTGCTGCCTCATTTCTGCCTGTTGCATTGTCCTGGCATCACAGTTGCCAGAGCTGACGGACTCCCTGATTTAAAGTTTCTTTAGCTGGCAGCATCTCTTTACTGCTTCACGTGTCCACGTGCAATTTGTGGGTACTACTTAACTAATTTCTTGGCTTTCGGTTGTTTAGGAACAACAAAGCAGACTCTTGGAGATGCTTTAGGAACTGATGTTTAATGATTTGGTGACATTAACAGGACAGACAAAGGGAAAGGGTTTGGTGCTTCACTTCAAGGCGCCACCAAATCTTTGATTTTTTAAATAAGAATGCATTTCATAGAATGCAACTGTCCAAGTCATTTGCACCAGACATTCCTCTAAACATTTCCTGCCAGTCCCTGAGGAAAATGTCCAGAAAAATCACAGCGAACAATGGACATAAAACAAAAAGAGAGGAGTTATACCCAGAAGATGCAGATGTCAGCTTGGAAAGACAATGAGATTCAAGAGCTTTTGGGAATAAGAGCCGCCACTGGTGTCAATGTGCAGTAAATAAAAACATGTGATTTCTACAGCAGAAGTTATATGTCCTGCCTCCTGCATGCCTTACCCAGATTGCCACTTTTCCTATTGCTGTGAAGGTATCTGACTCACTTCTGCTTTTGGAGATAGTGTGACTATTTGCAGTGTATGTCTCTTTGGTTTTATCGCATATATTTGTAGGGCATGTATTTTTTAAATTGATGTTTTCTTAATTTGCTTGTGCTTTCTCAAGTTGCAGTGCGTTGAGCTCTCAGGGCCACCATACTTGTGGTATTTCTTAACTTATCCTCAATAAAGTTGCGGTGGGTAACTCTTTCATTAACTTTCTGTCTGAGAAAAAGACTCGCTGCAGATTAAAACAACTTCTACGTCCTGTCATTTTCACTGATTCACCAGAGATTGCTCTGTCACTTTGTGATATGTGCGGCATCAAATAAGTGCTATACCCACGAACCACACGAGCAGGAGATTGACACAAAGTGATAAAGCTAAGTAAAGTCAATGTTGAAACTATTGAGGGAGGGAGGGGGACAAGAGACAGAGAGAGAGAGAGTGAAAGATGAGGTCAAGTTCAGGTCTGATAGCACTGAGGGAAGAGTGAGCCAATTGACTAAAAGCAAAGGTCTTCGCTCCGTTTATTTGAGTGCTCTCTCTCTCTTTCTCCAAAACACATATCTTAATAACATAACACTCAAAAACACAAAGAGCTCAACAACAGTGAGAGGCAACAACACACAAACATAATAAAGTCGAGAGAGCGATACACCCCAAAAACAACATATCTTAAACAATCATTTAGATTTTTTCTGCAAACGAGGCAGCA